CGCGGTGGCCAGGTCTCGAGTGCCAGGGCCCCTTGGCCCCGGGTTCGCTGGCCCTGGGTGTGGAATGTTCTGGAGAGGTCTTAAGGACGTGCAGACCCACGCGAAACCCCACGGGCCGACTCTCCTCCTGCACAGACCGCGGCCGCCCGGCGTGCGCCTCTGCCGCAGGCCTGCTCCCTTCCCGGTCCTCTGGAAGGCCTGTCGCCCTGCCCCGGAGCCCAGGGGACAGGGGAGGCTGTGAGGGGAGGCCTGAGGTGGGGGCCTGGCCGAGGGGCACCTGCCTTCCTAAGGAGAAGCCAGAGGCCAGGCCCCAGGCGAGGGTCTCTCTGCAGGGCCCCTGGCACCCCGTCATGAAGGCAGCTGGGCCACCCGCTGAAGCCGGGGCACACCTCGCCCCTCTCGGACCTTGGCCAGCGCTGCCGCAGCCTGCTCCGAGGGAGGATGTGACCGTGCAGCCAAGGACACGGGCCTGAGGGTGGCCAAGCCAGGACTCAGAGCGAGTGACCAACCATGAGACCTCACCCTGCTGCTTGCCGACCTCCTGAACCAGGGGAGGAGCCGCAGCGGCCTGCGGGGGTGGCCGGCCCTGGGGAGGTCTGGCTGGGCGCCGCGGGGTGGCGAGGAGCTCCAGGCAGGGGCTGTGCGGGAGCTCAGGGGCTCTGGGAGGTGCGGTTGGCACCGCATGGGGATGTGGTGAGGCCAGAGCTGTGGGATCCCCAGGCGGCCAGCCACGCGGGGCCCACGCCCTCCTGCCCTGTCCAGAGGCCTCCAGCGTCCTGGGCCTTTGGAAGGACGCTCTTACTCTGCTTCTCCAGGAACCGGCGGGTGTGGAGGTGGCCCCTCAGGGCCCACGGAGGTCCCCCGACCTCCCTCCATACGCACCTCCTGTGGGGGCCCAGGGCCCCTCATCTCTGGGCAGCCTGCAATGAGAAGAGCCCGGTCAGCTCTGGAGGCCACCTGGGCTGGGGGACTGGCACCTCTGGACCTCAGCTCTGTGACCAGGTGATTTGGCCCAAGTCTTCACCTGTAAACTGGGGACAATTGTGCCACCTCTGCACAGGCTGTTCTGGGGATTAAAGGAGGGGAGGAGTGGGAAATGCTTCTGCAGAGTCCCTGCCGCAGCCAGTGGTGACGAAGGTGGATAACGTTGCTGTCAGGGCAGGCGGGGGACCAGGGACAAGCCGGGCTCTGGAGCCAGACCTCCTGAGTTGTTGACCTTGGCTGAGTCAGAGGCCCTCTCTGAGCCTCAGTTTCCTCCTCTGTAAAGTGAGGAGATCCATGGATACTTCAAAGGGTTGTGCGCATTAAGAGGAATGTTGTAGATAAACTTTGCACGTGACAGACGCTCCCTGGGCCTCAGAGCCCACAGGGCCCTTTTGAAGTCCAGATGGGACGCCAGGATGACAGGGATGACTCAGGATTACAGCCCAGCCCTTCATGTTCTGGAAACTGCCATTAGCCTCCAGCCCCGAAGGCTGAGTGCTGGGCTTCCCAGCAGGTTTATGGGGAGACACAGCCTCTTGTCATTTTGTGGGGAGCAGAGGCTGTAACTGTGCCTGGCTGGGTGGGATTCCTTTCCAGCCAGTCAGTCAGTCAGTCAGTCAACAAACACTCATTCAGCTGAGACTGCGTGCCCTGGGCTGGGCACTGGAGACAGAAGTGAATCAGAGCCAGGGTCTTCCCAGCCCGGCTTGTCTCCTGGTCCCCCGCCTGCCCTGACAGCAACGTTATCCACCTTCGTCACCACTGGCTGCGGCTGGGACTCTGCAGAAGCATTTCCCACTCCTCCCCTCCCTTATCCCCAGAACAGCCTGTGCAGGAGGTGGCACAATTGTCCCCAGTTGAATTGTCCCCTGTGAATCAGGCCCTGAGCTCACAGTCTGGGGGAAACAGAGAGAATGTGCCACAGGCAGGGGCTGCGAGAGCCATGGTGGGACCAGGGATAGGGCTTCCTGGTGAAGAGGAGGCTTGGGGGTGTCTACACCCTAATAACTAAAGCCAAGGATGAGGGGTCAGGGGATCACGGGAGAACACCGGGAGGAGAAGACAGGAGAGGGAAGACGGACCCTGGGGACCAGGTGTTAGGGGGCTGCGCAGACTCCTCCCCGGAAACCTGGGGGGAGCTGCTGGGGACAGGCGCGGGAGCAAGATGGCTCTGGATGGGCCACGTCTCTGCCCCTGCACTCTGCTGTCATCCTGTCCCCTGGAACCGGCCTGGACAACGTGGTCGGAGCCGCGCTGCAGCGTTGCCAAGCCTGACCTGGAGGAGGCAGGAGGCCCCACGGGTCTCGATGTAGGAAATGGGGCTCCAGACGTCCCACTGTGCAGCGAGGAGAGCCAGGGATGGCCACATGGAGAAAGGGAGGGACGTGTCCTGGTAGACGCACCGACCCCCCAGCGAAGGAGCCACCTTGATGTGCACCCAGAGGGGGCTCCTGGCGACTCCAGCCCCTGCCACCACTCGATTGCCACCGTAAAAGGACACCAGGAGGACTGCCCAGGAGAGCGGCTCGCCCAGGGGACCCCGTGAGCACAGGGCTTCCTGGGCCGCGAGGTCGTGGGGTTGGTTACAGGCCGCGGAGCACTGGAGCAGTGGGCACTTCAGTACCGCGCAGCCCAGGGGACATCACTGCCCCTCTAACACCTGAGGAATGTGGCCCAGGGCGGGAGGTGACTCAGGACCAAGCCGGCTGGCGGGCAGGTGGGCGGGGCGGCCACAGGGCTGACCCTTCTCTTTCCGGAGCTCCAAACCACGTGGATTTGGCCCAATTCCCAGTGTGACGGAGGTTACGGGTGTCCTCCAGGTGGCCACCTGATGAACCCTGGCTTGGTGTTTGTTTGTTGTTGTGTTTCAAGCAGCCATTTTATACACCCAGCCCAACTGGTGTCCCTGTGACAGCCCTGTGACACTACCCAGCTCGAGAGACAGGCATTTCTGGCACCAGAAACTTCCTCTGTGCCATCTGCCAGGCAGCGCCCCTCCCCCGGCCCCGAGGCACCCACCGTTCTGATGGCTGTTGCACCCGACTGTTTGCTTTGTGTGGTGTTGTGTTCTGTGACCTGGATCAAACCCAGGCCTCCAAACGCCAGGCAAGAGCCGCACAGCTGGGCCACACCCGGCCCGTTTTATTTTACTTGGAGACAGGGTCTTGCCAGGTTGCCCAGTCTGGCCTTGAACTGGCAATCCTCCGGCCTCAGCCTCCCGAGTGGCTGGGACTCCAGGCGGGCACCGCCATGCCCCGCTTTGCATGGCCTGCTCTTGGACGTCACGCAGACGAATCCTGCAACACGTGGTCTTCTGCGGCTCTTCTGCTCATCGTGCGTGTTTCTGTATGCAGTGGGGATTCTTCTTTGCACTGCCGTACCGTACAGTGTCACAGGGTACAGACACGCCCCAGCTTGTTCATCCTGTTGTTGATGGACAACTGTTATGTCCCCAGATTTGGGCTCCTTTGAATGAAGCCGCTGACTCGTGACTCCGCGGGCTGGCTCCCGCTGGCTCCTCTCTGCTGTGTGCACAGGAGTGAAACGCCGGCCGCTTCCTGGGTGGCTCACAGAGCACCCTCCCACCAGCTGTGCAGAACCAGCCCAGCTGTGTCCTCGCCAGCACTCGATAGGGTCAGTCCTTCTAGCCTGGGTGTCCCAGCTGCAGGCGCGTGGCCTTCTGATGGCGATGCCTGGCGCCTCCTGACTCCTGCCGGCCAGCTGCTTCCCGCGTTGGTCTGGGGCTGTCCCACTCACCCAGAGCCCTGGGGAGGAGGAGGGGGGACGCCAGCCGGGAGGACACTGCCACAGCCCAGGTGAGATGGTGGTCCTGAAGCGGACTGAGGCGCGGTGGAGGGGCAGTGAGGGCCGCCTGGGTAGGTGGCGGGGATGAGGAGGGAGAGGAAGGGCTCAGGTCCCTCAGGTGGGGCTGCCAGCTGCAGATCTCCATCTCTGAGTGGTGGGGGATGCTCCTCGTCCCCTAAGAGGTCCTGAGGCAGGTTAGCCCTAAGCCTGGGTGACTTGAAGGCCTGGGGACCCTGACTACTCTCTGATTCCCAGCATATGGATGAGACAAGATGGCGGCAGCATGAGGACTTCACTCAATGCCGTCTAGAGGCCGAGGGGGCTTTCTTTCCTGTGCCCCCTCTAACAAGCAAGGAACAGGGCTGGGGATGTGGCTCAGTGGTCAAGTGTCCCTGAGTTCAATCCCTGGTACCCGCCCCCCCCCCAAAAAAAAAAGAAGCAAGGGACACATTCCCGAGGACCCTCTCCACCCCACTCCTCCGTGCACCTCACTGGCTGGAGCTGCTTTCCCTGCCATCTCTGAGCTAATCCCGGGCAGGGGGTGGCACGTTTCCCCGGGTCGCTCTCCTCCAGGGCACACTAGGGATAGGCTCAGGATTTGTTCCTGCGGCTCCTTCTGCTTAGAATCCCTCCTTGACTTTCCCATTTGGAAAAGTCGTATGTGCAAGCTGCTTCCAAGAGCAACTGCAGGCCGAGCAGGGCTCTCGAGTTCCCACAGGCCTCTGGGATCCAACCCAACGTGGTGTTTCTATGGTTCAGAAATGGGGCCTCCTCCCAGCCCAGTGTGACCATGGCCATGGCCAGCCGATGCCCACCTTGCTCAGAGCTTTCATGGGCTCGAGGCCAGTCCTCCATGCAGGAACGGGGTTGGAAGGAAACGCCCTCTAATGGAAAAGCAAAGTGAGGCTCGGAGAGGGTGACCCGCCAGGGTCATGGCCAGCGCAGCCTCAGCTCCCACCCTCTGCAAGGCCTGGGTGCAGGGCCTTCCCCCAGGGCGTGCCAGACTTGGGTGCTGATGGTTCCCTAGGGACCGTGTTGGAGAGCAGACGGCTCCAGCAGGTCAGGGAGGGGCCTGCAGGACACTCAGATGTCACATCCTCGCCTCCTGGAAGAACTGGCTTCTCAACTCCACCCTCCAAGCCACATGCCACCACTCACGAGGGTGGGGCGCTATGGGGCGCCGGTGAAGAAGCCACTTGAAGAAACCCCACTCTCCATTCCCCGCTGCCTGGCCACCCAGGGAACCGGAGTTGCTGGAACGTTTTATTAAGTTAAGGAGGTTCACAGAGCAGGAGAGAAGCGCCCTCATGGGTGGCGCCAGCGTTTCCATGCCCAGCACCCCTTGGAGGAGGAGGTGGGCCGTGGGGCAGCTGCTGGCTTCCTCGGTCCCTCTGTCCAGAGTCCCAGGGTGTGGGTCCACCCAGGGCAGGAAGTCGTTAGTGGGAGGTAGGCAGGAGGAGGGTGCTGGCTCGTGGCCTCTCCTCACCAGGGCCACCTGCCTGGCTGCTGCCTGGGCCTCCTCTGTGACCCCGGGCAGGGCCACAGCTGACGCCCCAGCAGGGGACTAGAGACAGGGGACTCAGTGCTGGGGCACACACCACCAGGAATTGCTTTTTAAAAAGTATAAAGTGTTCTGCAAGAAAAAATCTATATAAAAATCTCTTCACATATAAAATCCTGAAGAAGGTGCCAGGTAAGACCCAGTGCAGGGCGCGCTCAGACCCGCAGAGTGTGCACGTGGGGTGTGTGTGTGTGTGTGTGTGTGTGTGTGTGTGTTGGTACACGTGCATGCGCGGCCCACAGGGTGGCGAGAAAGCTTGGCTTCTGACTCCATCCATCAGGGAAAGAGGGCTATTGGTCCCTTGGGCTGGAGGGTCTGCAGCTGGACTGGACCATGAGGACCTGGAAGGCAAGGGCGGGTGCTGAGGGCCAGGAAGCCCCAGCCGCAGGCCCACCTGGGGTCGGTCCTTCCACCTCCTCCCTTCCTGAAGGCTGCGCCAGACCCTGGCTTCCCGAACAGCCCGTGGCCTTTCCCGTGTGCCTTGGGAAGCCTGCACGGCCTGGGAGGAAGAGGACACTCAGGCAGGCGGGCCCTGGGAAAGGAGTGAGGAGAACCCCTGATGTGCGGGGACCCCCGTGTGCACAATGCACCCCTGAGGTCTGGCCTGTGGCTCTGGGAAGGGGCAGAGCGCCTGAAAGTGGCACTCCTGCATCCCCAATAGCCCCGTGGTGGCCCAATCAGGCCACAGAGTGGCCCTGGAGAAACTTAGGCAAACAAGTTCAGTGCAGCCCGTGGCCTGATTCTGAGCTCCCAGGGACAACCCTGTGTGGCCAGGGGGTGACCACTCACAGAGGGGGAAGGTGGCCCGGCAGCAGGAGGGGCGGGTGCAGCTCCCTCCCCCAGACCCGACACCCACGGCTGCCCGCCACAGGGCCCACCGCTCACTCTACTGCGCCAGGCTGTTGCGCGTGGACTCCTTCTCCTGCAGGGCGGCCATGGCCAGGCGCAGGTGCTCCTTCAGCTGCTCGATCTCCCGCTCTGACCGCGTCTTGATGTGGTTCAGCTCCACGTACACGTCCTGGTACTTTCCCGAGGTGAAGCGCTTGTCCTGGGGGAGGGGGTGGCTATGAGGGCCTGAAGTCCCCCTACTGGGCCTGACCTGGGCACATTCCCACCTTGCTGCTGACCACACAGCGCCAGGTGGCCAGGCCCTCTGCAGCCTGGTACTTTGGCCCCTTTAGGGCCCCTCCTGGGCCACCCCCTCCCAGCCCTACCTGAGACACAGGTTTACTGTCATCTCATCCCATTGGGGTGAGCACTGAGGCTTGGAGAGGTGACGTTCTGCCCAAGACCACAGGCAGTGAGTGGCAGGGACCAGAACCAGGTCAGCCTGGCCAGTGCCGGGGCCGGCTCTTCAAGTGTGGTGAGCCCCATGCTGCTCACACATGCCCAGAGCCACCAACATGTCCACTTCTGGTCCCAAACTGGCAGAGTGTGTTGGGGCAGGACATAGTAGCCAAGGGTGGGCCAGCCAGGCCACAGGCGCAGACCTGGCCTGCACCCCAGCACCCCAGCACCCAGCCACGTGCGCACTCCTCAGGGGCAGGGATCTCGGTCTGCTTGTTTGCTGTCAGGACCCAGCATGGTGCCTGGCACACAGCAGGCGCTCAATAATAGTAAGCAGACAAAGCCCTGCTGAATAAATGAAAGCAAGTGTCGGCCTCGTCCAGTCACTTCCCCTTTCCTGGCCTTTGTCTCTCCGTCTGTAACTGGGATAATGACACCTTCGTGGGACACACAGAAGAGCCTCAGGAGAGGAGGAGCTAGAGGGTGCCTGGCACCCAGTGTCTCTCAAGCACCCCTGTGCCCCCGCCCCAGAGGCCGGTGCCCACCTTCTGCATCCCCTGGAGCTCATCGCGCAGACACTGCACCTCCTTCTTCAGGTACTGGAGCTCATTCTCCTTCACGCGCAGCAGCACCTGGGGACGGGGCGCTGGGGTGAGCCAGGGCCGGAGGCCAGAGCACCCAGGCCCACAGTGCACCCAGAGGGCCTCTCGCTGCCTCGGAGCCTGCTCCACATCCGGGGTGGACTCCCTGGGAAGCCCGCTCTTCTCTGTCCCCGCCCCCCCCCTCCACAACAAGTGCAAGGGAATCTGTCACTCGTACCTGCAGCCCCAACCCAGCACCAGGCCTTCCTTGCTGGGGGCAAGGAGGTCAAAAGGAGGCTGTGTTGTGGACTGACGGTCAACCAGAGCTAGGTGACCATGGTGGGCTACCCCCAAGGCCCAGGGGCAGGGCTGCTAACTTGACCAGGGGGCTGCAATCCCAGCTGGGCCTGGAAGGCTTGAAAGCTGTTTGTGTGTGTGTGTGCTGGAGATTGAACCCAGGGCCTTGCGCCTGCGCAGCCAGCTCTCTACCAGCCGAGCTATAGCCCAGCCCAGCTTAAAGGCTCTGATTGAGTCCGCCTGCCTGGTTCAAGCCCTGCTCCTGCAAGGAGGAGTAGGGGACCCCAGGAAAGTGCTGACCTCCCCGTGTCTGCTCCTCCTCTGTCCAAGAGGACATGGAACTCACCAGGGTTGGGAGGTTGGGCAACGGAGGTGAAGGACTTACACAAGTGCCCTGCTGCGGGGTGCCTGGTGTACCTGTGTGTTACTATTACAATACGGGGTGACCCTGGATCTCACGCAGTTTCCCACTCTATGTTGCCTTATAAGGGAGGCGCTGGCCCATCCTACAGAGGAGCCATTGTGGCTCACGAAAGCAGCGGGACAGGACTGGATGGGCGGGCCCGACCCTGGAGGCTGGGTCCCCAGCTGCAGGTGACTCCGTCTGTCACAGGGAGCTCTCTGCACAGCCCGGGCCGGGGGCCACCGTGCCTGGCGTCGGGGAGCCCCTCACCTCCAGCTCACAGGAGCTCCGCTCGGGGCGCCCGCAGCTGTTGCCGGTGCCCTGCGAGGCGATGAAGCTGCGCAGCCGGTCGATCTCCTCCGACAGGCGGGTGTGCAGCTCCTGGGGGGGGGCGCCGTCAGAGGGTGCTGGCCCGGCCCCGCCCCGCCTCTGGAGCCCCGCCCCCTGGAGCCCCGCCCCGCCCCCTGCAGCCCGCCCCCGGGTCAGGCCCACCTGGTTGTGGCGCAGCAGCTCCTGGCCCTCCTGCTGGCAGCGGCGCAGGGTGTCCTCGCGCTCCTCAGCCTGCCGCGTCAGCGCCCCGATCTCCAGGCACTTCTGCGAGTAGCGCTCCGACAGCACCTGCAGCTCCCGCTTCAGAGCCTCCACGTCCGACCTGCGGGGAGGGAGGGCGGCCAGCTGCAGGCGACCAGAACTCCTGGTCCCTCCCCAGCTTGCCCTCGGCCCACTGGGGCCTGGGGTCCGGTGACAGCCTTTCTGGGCTGCAGGGTGGTGGCGAAGGCCTCTAGAGTCCCCCAATTCCAGAACTGTGTTCTGTGGCGGGGAGGTGACACTGCCCAGGCCTGGGGACACTGAAGGGGTGAGGAGGAGGGAGGTGGTCAAGACCAGCTCAGACAGGCCAGAAGAGCTGTCACCGGCACTGGCCTGGGCTGGCTGTGGCCCTGCTGTCCCTGTTCCTGTGTGAGACTGGGCAGGAGCCTCCACGGGGCACACTTGTGTCTTCTGCCAAGCGGTCAGTAGGGCCCTGGCTCCGAGGCAGACCCTGCCCACGGGCTCCAGGGCTGTTCCCTCTTACTGGTGCTGCTTCCGGAGGCCGTCTGGACCCTGCTGCAGGCTGCGCGTCTTGCTTAGCTCGCGGCTCAGCTCCTCCTGGTAGGCCTTCTTCATGGCTTCGATGGCTAGGACGGGGCAGAGGGGAGGAGAGGTTGGAGGGGGGAGGCACCAACCCCAGCCTCCTCTCAGCCTCCACATGAACGGGTAGAGACAAGATCAGGAAGTGGGTTCATAGTCCAGCTGTGCCCTGAGTGGCTTTGGGCAAGTGCTCAACCTCTCTGAGCCTGTCACGGAAGACGAATCTTGTCTGATGGACTCTCGTAGGGAGACCACAATGTCTAACCACTGGTGCCTCCTGTTAGTAACTGTGGGGTTGGACCTGACATGGTGGATTATCCCTGCAGAGCCCCGAGGGCCCTCGAGCAAGACCCGTCTGCCTCGCCCAGGCTCAAGGAACAGAGCTGGAGCTGGACAGTCTGCACAAACCTGTGTGACTTTGTGCAGTGACTTAACCTCTCTGTGCCTCATTTGGAAAGTGGGGAATCAGCTGCGACTCCACTCCAGGGTTCCTGGAGGATGTGCGTAGAGCGTTTAGAGCAAGGCCCTGCACAAAGCGGACATTAGCTGGCTGTTTTTCTCAGACCATGAGCTCCCAAGGCCCGAGTGCTTTTCCACACCACACAGGGTTGTGGTGAGGCTTAAACAAGTCGCCATCTGTAATTTTACCCACAATTCCCAAATCCAGAAGCTCTGAACACAGAAATGAAAGTTTCCTATCATTCTTCTGATGGAGGTCCCCAATGTGAAGGGACGTGAGGCTGTTCATGGTCTTTGCTTTGTCACACAAATGCCACTCCATCCATCTCACTGCAGAAGCTCTAGTGCTGAATCACAGGGGGCACCTGGATCCTGCTGGGTGAGGGTGGCAATGGCGCCTGCACAGGGTGACCTCCCCAAACACAAGTCCCCGAGCCCAAGGCCCAGCACGAGGGACCGTGGGCTGCACAGGAAGCACCGTGTCCAGAGCTGGCGGCTGCAGCTCCGCATCATGTGGCCTCTTTTATGGCTCCTACGTTCTGCCCTGGGTGCCAGGCCACAAGCCCCCGGGTGCCAGGCTGTGCCAGCACACACCGCAGGCGTGCAGTGGAGGGGGAGGAGGTGTCGCCACCTTGGGCAGTTGCTGCTTCTGGCTTGAAGGCACAGGGGGACTCAGAGCGTGACTGCAGTCAGAGTGCTCGGGGCTCCAACCCTGGCTCTGCCACCTCCAGCTCTGCCTTCTGGGACAAGTCAGCAGCCTCTCTGAGGCCCAGCTTCTTCACCTGGGAAACGGGCTGCTCTGGGAGCAGTGAGGGCTAAGGACATCTCCTGGCCAACACAGAGTGGGCACAGCGGCCTGGGGCAATGCTCACAACCAAAGCCGGGCCGCCCGGGTCTGGCCATGTGCCCAGGGACGGGGCACACCTATAAGGACAGGGCCTGTGACTTGAGGTGGACGCCAGGGGCTACAGGCCCTGAGGGAACGCAGTCACAACCCCCGGGGCAGTTACTTCCCGTCTCAGTCTGGCCTTTCAAAGGAGGGCCAGAAACCAGTTCTGCCGACGCCTCCCAAGCCCGACACCGAAACCCTGCCTCTTCAGAGCCTCCCCAGTTCCATCGGGAGGCTCAGTGTGGAGGCCGAGCCTGGCGCGTCCTCACCTGAGGCCGTGGCCGCCGTCTCCTCGGCCAGCAGCCACTCCTTCTCCTGCTGCAGCCGCTGCAGCTCGCGGTCGTGGTGCCGCTGCAGCTGCTCCATCACGTGCTGGTGCGAGGACTCCATCTCCGCCAGGCTGCGCTCGCAGGCCTCCTGTGGGCCAGAGGCCAGGAGGTCACCGGTTGCGCCACGACCCAGGCCAGCAGCCCTTCCAGGCAAGAGGCCTCCGGCAGCTCCTCGGCACTACCCGGACCTGCCCACCAGCTGCACCTGCCCACCCCGCCCACCCTCCTCACCCAGAAGCCTCAATTGGCACTCTCTGGCCTCACACCCTCCAGGGCTCCCCACCCTGCAGGCTCCAGTCCCTGTCCCGCGGCTGGCCTGGTGGCCCATCCCTCCCAGCAACCCGCTATGAAAACGCAACCCTGGGCGCGTCCATACTCCGAGCTTTAGCGCACGCTGTTCCCACTGCCCGGAATGCCCCGTCCTCTCCCTAGGGAAGGTGCCTGGCCTGCGGCCCAGTCAAGATGCCTCTCAGAGCTCTGTCCCTGGGCAGCCCCTTCCCTGCCTCCAAAGGTTCTGCTTCTGCCAGAACATAACACCCCCAAACAGGGACCTCTGACCCCTGGGGTCCAGGCCAGGGCACAGCACACAGCGGATGCTCAGCAAACAAGCTGAAGTTAATGATGTAATACCAAACAGGGTTCTGCAGAAGGGGGCAGGGGTTTTAAAGACTGGCGATGCCCACCGCTAGGAGTGCCCACCATGACGGACACGTGCGGGTGGATTTGCGCATCATTGCACAAATGTTTGTTTGGTTTTGTTTTTCTGTGGTGCTGGGGATGGAGCCCAGGGCCTTGTGCATGCGAGGCCAGCCCTCTCCCAGCTGAGCCACATCCCCAGCCCCGCGTCACCGCATTTGAACAATTTTATCCCTTGACTAGCAGGTCAACTCTGAAGTGGTCACACAGGGAGTCACACAGGAAGCCACACGTGTACAGACTCGGGGACAAGGGTATTCCTTGTGGCAAGGTTGGCAACAGATGGAAACGAGAAACAACCTAAATGCCAACGGGAGACCCTTAAATAAATGATGGCAGGGCACCTTCTGAAGGACTCCAGGCAGTTGCTAGGACACAGATGCCCCTCTAGCTGCTGCGGAGGGTGTCCCAGGAGCCAGGCCATGAAAGCTGGCTGTGACCATGCACACAAAGTACTCCCGCTCACAGGCAAATCACATCTGGCTCTGTGTCCAAGTCGCGTGTGAGAAAACATAGACGGGCACAGACTGTGGGAGGGAGGAAAACAGCACCCCAAGATGTCCATGCCCTACTCCCTGGGCCTGGGACTGCGTGTCAGTCCATGGCAAGAGGAATCAAGGCTGTGCGGGATGCAGGTTACTGGTCAGCTGACCACAAACTAGGAGATTAGGCTGGACTATGGGGCCAAATGCAATCACAGGGGAGCAGCAAGCCGAGGGAGGGAGATGTGACCAGGAAAGAGTGGTCACTGGGGCAAGAAGTGACAAGGACCAGACTTCCCCTCTGCAGTCTTTGAAGATGAAGGAAGGGACCAGGAGCCAAGAACAGGCCTACCACCAGAAGTGGGACGTGGCAAGAGCCACGGAGGGGAAGGCCGTCCTGCAGCCCGGCCAGACGGCGCCAGGCGCCAGCCTCCCAACCAGTGGAGACCTGTGCTGTTTAAGCGCTGTCTGTGGTCATCTGCGCCAGAGGAGACAAATGGAGACGAGGTGCGATGGTCACTGGGGTGGGAGAGGCAGGGACACGCTCATTTCTAACCTTTCAATTTGCTTCAGTCATTACTATTATTTTTGTGGTGTTGGAGGTCAAAGCCAGGCCCTCACCCAGGTCTGGGCAGGTGCTCTACGACCACCAAGCTCCGTCCCCAGCCCCTGTGAGAACTTCTTGAAAATGTGAACATGTCTCTTGTGTCAGCTTTTGAGGGGTACCAGGACTGAACTCAGGGGTGCTTGACCACGGAGCCACATCCCCAGCCCTATTTTGTACTTTATTTAGAGACAGGCTTGCTTAGTGCCTCGCCATTGCTGAGGCTGGCTTTGAACTCATGATCCTCCCACTTCAGCCTCCCGAGCCACTGGGATTACTGGCGTGCACCACGGCGTCCAGCTCTTGTATCATTTTGTGAAAATGTTTCCAGTAATTAAGAAAGGCAGGGAGGGGCCGGGCAGGAAAGCACTGCTCAGAGCCAGGAGAGCTTCGCGGTACCCTGCAGCAGGCCTCTTGGAGGGAGGGTAAGGGCCTCCTGGATGCAGGTGTTCTGGTGGGAGAGGCACGTCTGCCTTCTGAGCCTCTCTGCTGTGTTCCGAATGTCCCCTACTGAGGACCACAGAACATGGCTTCAGAGCCCCACAGAACGGATTCCTTAGGAAGTGGATCTGCAGAGCCCCACTCTCTGAGCTTAGCTTCAGCCTCTCTCAAACTGGCCTCACAAGACCAACCCACGAGGCTCCCTGAGCAGAGGGACCGCTGGGCACAGGAGGACAAGGTCAGCACTGTTGGGGGAAGCCTGCATTCTTAAAGGGCCAGCGCAGGCAGGCAGGCAGGGCAGCTGAGGGTGTGGGGTAACCGTAGGAGGTGCCCATGAAGAGGACTCCTAGAAGGCGAGGTGCTGCCCTGACCTACCTTCCTGAGTGGCCCCAGGTCCCGGTACTGGCTGCACCTCTCCATGAACACCTCGGTGAGTGAAGAGACACTGCGGCACCACCGCACGGGGCCGGAGGGGTCTCCTTTGCCAGCAGAGGGGCTGAAGTCCCAGCGCATGAAGCCAGGCCCCTCAAGGGTGCCGAGCCCCACAGGAAGGGCGCCCGCTCGGCCTGAGACACCAGGCTGGGGAATCTTCCCCAGAAGACACCTCTCCAGGGCCCGCTGAATATCTAGCCACCTCGTCCTGTGCCTGAGGGGGACACTTGACAACTTCTCTTTTGCAGCCTACCATTCCGACTACCTTCCTTCAGCTGAACCCAATCCGCCTGCTCCCCACCCATCCCATCCCGAGAGGAGAGTGCCGAGGCCTCTGGAGCACACACGGGGCAGATGGCCTGGAGCCCAGGTCTGTGACAGCCCAGGGCCACGCCCCTTCTATCTGTAAGTCAGAAGCCAGACGCTGCTGTTCAAGCTTCATTTTAGTGGCAGAAACACTTTCCAAATGGATCAAAAGCTGGTTCATAGCAGAACAGATGAAGGCGGAGCTGCTGGATTCCAGGGCCCACCCAGAGCACTTGGAGCTTCCTGCCCTGGGGGGCCTCTGAGGTCTTCCAGGTGCCCCAGGCTGTGGTGTGGGCCCAGCTTGCGGAGAGGCCCTGCCCAAGGCACTTTGACAATACCGGTTCCCCTGCACCCCCAGTCCTCCCTCCCCAAACCCAGGGACCCCAGGCTAGCCCTCCTCATTAGCCCCCACCCCACTCCCTCACTGAACTCGTCACCTTCAATTCGGCCTTGGGTGGCCCCAACTAGCACAGCAGCCAGCCTCGAGGGCTCCCCTTGGCCTGCCCAGGGCCCAGCCCTACAAGGCTCCTGCCAGCCCACTGCCCTCCAGCTCGGCCCACTCCTTGCCTGGGCTCTGCCCTCTCCAGACCTGCCCGTGTCCCTGGCAGACCTCCCCAGGCCAACTCCTCAGCTTGTCCTTGGAGGCCCTCAAGAGGCAGCGGCTGGCCTTCCCCCCACCACCACTCTCACATCAGTGCCTGCCCCTCAGGAAGCCTTCCTGGATCCCCCTCGTGGTGACCTCCCCCTTCCCCTAATGGAAGCTTCCAGAAGGGTCCTGCTCCTAGGGTCTGGGACCCCAGGGTTCTTTTCTCCTCAGGCAGTGATGTGCTGACCGCAGACAACTGATTATCAAATTTTTAGGAATTTTATGACTTCATTACTAAGCAAGACCATTTCAAAAAATTAAATTTATATATTTATCATTAAATTAATTACATTATAAACAAAAATACTCAGGATGTATCACTCCCTAATTGTTTCCCCGTGTTTATTAGCACGCTTACGTCCTGAGGGTGTGCCTGATGGTGCCAGAAGGGGAAGCGCTACCTATCCTGCGGTGTTTCCTCCCAGACCCTGGCTCCAATACGCCAGGGACTTGGGCTGGACTCGTGGCACTGGCCACATGGGAGTGTTACACCCCGGAAACCCGTACGCGTCACAAGTCAGGGCTCAGGTTATTGCTTCATGGATCAACTACAGACTTCAGCCAGTGACGAGGAAATGCGGAAAGGATGCAGGTTAGACTCTGAAGTGCGTCATTGATAGCTTTAAATGCACACAGAACCAAAAACTGGAGAAATATTCTTAATAGAATATTCTCAGTAGAAACTATTATCTGATTCAGGAAAGAAGTTTGCTCACATTTACCAAGTTTCAATGTACGTCTTCTTATTCATTAGCATAAACCACATATCCATCAACACACACATTACAACTACACGTGGACACGGCACGGAGAAGTCACCAGAGCCCTGAGACAAGTCCATCTGCCATATGGAATTCATAATAAAAAGTATTTCATCATTTTTATTTGTAAGTTATATACTAAAAACATCCTTTATATGGGGAATATTTATAATAAATGTGTACACACACACACACACACACACACACACACTTTCTGGCGAGCTAGTCGTCCCAGTTGTGACAATCAAGAGTTTCCAGACACAGCCAACTCTTCCTGGGGGACAAAAATCTCTCCCAGTTGAGAGCCGCTGTCCTGGGAGGACAGTGTGCTCCCAGAGGGCCACTAAGGGGGCCCGTGTCCTGCAGACCTCCTTGGAAAGCACAGGCAGGCTTTCCCTGTGTTTAAGGAACAACTCCCAGGGCCACTGGCTCCCCACTTCCCCAGGGTGATGCAGGGGAGGGGTCCAAGTGCAGAGTGTCACACAGGGACTCACACACAGGCTCTGCAGTCAGCTGGACCCAGGCTCAAATCCCACCTCTGACACCTGCAGGTCGGGTGACCTCGGGCAAGTCACATAACCTCTCAGTGCTCAGTGGCCTTGTCTGTAAAATGGGCACAGTGATCATGCCCACCAGCTGTGGGGAGATTAAATGAGATGACGCATGTCAAATGCCTCACGGTTCCACCGGGCAGGAAGGGCTCCCAAAACATTAGCTGTTTTCGGGTAACACAGCAACCAGGAACCTGCCCCCAACCCCTCAAAACAACTCCGTGCCATACCTGGGAGATGTAGCCTGGGGGGACGTGGCCATCCTCCTGGGACTTGCGTGCATTCTGAGGGGTCTCCCCTCGGAGGCGCCACGCCTCCAGCTGGGCTCGAAGAGACTGGACCTATGAGGGGAGGAGACCAGGTCAGTGGGCGCAGAAGCACGAGGGACCTGGTGGGAGGCAGGGAGGGGCCCACAGGCCTCCAGCTTCCAGGTGCTTAGGAAGGGCTCAGGGGCTGAGAGGGACACGCAGCCCTCGCGTGGAGGTGCAGGCAAGGGGACGGTTGGGCTGTTTCCTGGATGGCCGAGTTCAGCCCAGAGAAGCCCAAGCAGGTTGGGAACAGCACACGGCAGGCACAGACCTTGCCCACACCGGGGAGGTAGCAAGGGCACCTTAAGTCTGTTTTGCCACCAGTGAAAGGCCTGCACTGTGGGATCCCAGGTTGCCCGGCGACTGAGTAACCAGTGAAGCGGACCCAGGACCAAGGACAAGGCCTGGGGTGTACAAGATGCACATTTGGTGACCTCTCTCCACCTCCATGGCTTAAAATTAAGGGCAGAAGCGGAAAATACCCACGCGACTAACGCGGCCCAGCCTGGGGAGGGCTCCCTTCCCGGGAAGAGGGGCATCAGATCGGGCGACCCCCCACCCTGGGAGCTAGGCCAAAGCAGCGCCAGGGGGTGCGTGCGTGCGTGGTGGGCGTGGTGGGCGCGGCCGGGCAGGGGCCCACCTCCTTCTCCAGGGCCTCGTGGCTGTCGCTCGGGGGCCCGCGGCGCTCGCCCCGGCTCTGGTTGAGCAGGGCGGTGAGCGGCACCCGCTTGTTGTCCCGCAGGGGCAGCTTCTCCAGCTCCTGCCACTTCTTCTCGATCTCCTCGCTGAGCCTGCTCTGCTGCTCCTCCGTCAGCGGGGCGCCCAGGCTCCTGCGCGGCCCCTCGCCGGCGGGCACCTCGGGGGCCCGGCTGTCCTCAAACCACTTGCGGCGCTCCTCGGAGCGCTGGGCCAGGTCCCGCTCCAGCTCCTCCTGCTTGGCCGGTCGGTCGGGAGCGCGGGCCCGCTGCGGGGAGCCCTGAGTCAACGGGGACAGCTCCACATAATCCAGGGCCTGCCGAGGCCCATCCGCCTTCCGGGGGCCGGCCCGGCCGATGGCCTCAGAGCCGGCCCGCTGCTCCCCAGCCTTCAGGGAGCCCTTCTGGGAGCCATAGCCGTGCAGCGTGTTCTCTTTATTGCACTCCGAGAGCCTAGGCAGGGCACAGCAGAGAACTCTCAGGGGGGACTTGCCCACTAGGTCCCCCAGGAGCACTTTCGGCGGGCGGCTCAGGTGCCAGGAGCTGGACAGGGCCCAGGGGAGTAAGCAACCCAACCTGGAGGCCGAGGACCTGAGTTTCACTGTTTACAGACCCTGGGGGCATCCCAGCTCTGCCACTCAGTGGAGCCTCCGTTATCCATTTGTAACATGGGACAGCACTGACCCGAGCACTTAGAGAAGAGTGGGACGCACCAGGAAGCCCTCGCAAATGCTGACCAGTGCATTATTACCAAAAGCAAGAAACAAAAAAACGTATAAGACAAGGCCCAGGGGCTGGGGCTGGGGCTCAGTGGTGGAGCGCTTGCCTGGCGTGTGTGAGGCCCTGGGTTTGATCCTCAGCACCACATACAAATAAACGAATAAAATAAAGGTATTGTGTCCAACTACAACTAAAAAATAATTATTTTTTTAATATTTAGTTTTTAGTTTTACATGGACACAATACCTTTATTTTGTTTTTATGTGGTGCTGAGAACCAAACCCAGTGCCTCACATGTGCTAGGCGAGTGCGCTACCACTTGAGTCACATCCCCAGCCCAAAAAAATAAATATTTAAAAAAAAAAAGACAAGGCCCAGGGTTTAAGGGGCTCGTGGTGGAGCAGAAGAGGGGTGCCTGTGGTCTCTACAGATGGGGTGAAGACTTTGGGACTTTTAAGTGACTGGCAGTTCTCTTCTTCCACAGTATAGGCGGGTACACTGTCACCCAGCCAAAAACTACACTTCCCAGCAGCCCCTGCAGCAACCCCTGGCCATTAGACTGCATTCCACCAGCAGGTGCAAGAAGCTGCTCCCTCTATGGGGCTGGGTGATCCTGGCTCCTGACAGGGCCTCTGAGCCATAGCCCAAGCTCTGCACAGAGGCTGCAGAGCAGCCCACCAGGCTAGACTCCACACCTTGGGGCTCATCTGGAGAATGGAGTGAACAGCTATCTGGCTTAAGCCACGGTGTCTTGAGTGGCTATGTCAAGGCCATGAGCCTGTATGCTGAACAACAACTCCGCTGCACTGGACCTGGGAGCCTACCAAGGCTCTGGGCACATCTGCACAGGTGTGCAGACATAAAGCCCAACACGACAGATGACAAATCTGAAATTCAGATGGGAAGTCATTGGTTCAGGCTGAGCCGCCAGGGTGTGGCCAGGGTGGGGGACTCACCTCAGCCCTCTTCAATAGCAGGCTCTCTTCCTGCTGCCCAGCAGCTTCAAGTCCTGGCCCCAAGAAGGCTCTGCCACCAGGTAACAAGAACCCCACCCTTCTGCCCCGGCAGCCTGGAGCAGGGGCTCCCCACCTGGGAGGGGACTGCACAGACGCCAGAGGACCCAGTCTCTCCCCTACAAAGGCGCAGGTATGGCCCCCAAGGCAGAGAGGGAAGAGCCACCTGGCAGGGACCTCTGACTCAATGCCTCTTCTCTCAAGCTGAATCCCCTTCCCACTCTTACGGGATGTGGGGGACATGAAGGGGGAGAGGTCAGACTTCAAATCCTCAATGTGTTTCCGGGCGAATGCCAAGAACCCCTGCTGTTCTTGCCTAGCTTATGTTTTGGTGCTGGGGGTTGAACCCAGAGATGCTCCACCACTGAGCCAATCCCCAGCCCTTTTTATTTTTTGAGGATTTCTCGCTAAATTGCTTAGGGCTTTAGTAAACTGCTGAGGCTGGCTTTGAACTTGTGATCTTCCTGCCTCAGCCTTCCAAGTCGCTGGAATTACAGCGTGTGCCACAGCGCCCAGCTCCCTACTTTGTTCTAGAGGTACCAAGGCCCAGGAGGCTCAGTCTCAAGGCTGTCAGGTGAGTTCCCAGAATCCCACTCCTCAAGATGTGAAGGCAGGGACACCTGCCCAGCCCAGCCCAGCACTTACTTGGTGACATCTGGCGCTGAAGTTGGACGCACAGTCTTCCTCAGAGCCTCGATCCAGTTCCGCCGGATACCTGAGGTCATGGCCGACAAGGTATAGACAGCATCCTTGGTCTGCAATCCACACCGCAGTAGGTTAACACGTGGTCAACCCCACAGTCTCCCTGCTGACGCAGGAAAGGTGGCCCTTCCTTCCCTGGAGGGGGTCTAAGGTGATAAGCAAAGGGTCTGCAGAGGGCGCAAACGTCCTCCACGAGCCTGGGCAGGCGCCAGTGGCACCAAGCTCTCCCCAGAACTCCCAGGTGTTGGCACCAAAGCTTGACTGGCTCTGCGGAGAGGGTCTCTGCATAAATGGGGGAGTCACGTCCGATACCAACACCTCCTCTGGGTCCGACAGCCACGCTGCCCACCCCCCACCTCCCCCAGCCACACGCAGCCTCACGTGGATCTGGAAGCCATAGTTGCGCTGCACCGCGTACTCGGTGACGTCCGTGCAGGAGCGCAGGTCGATCTCACCGTCCAGCTCATCTGCCTAGAGCAGAAGGCACGGCAGGGTCACATGCGCCCTGGGGAGTCCCAGTCTACCGAGCCCGGCTGGGGCCTGTGGGCACCAGCTGCCTCACCTCTTCCGCTGTGGAGTCTCTGTAATACTTGAGGCTTGAATCTGTCAGCACGAACCAGTGCTTCTTCCACTGTTGGGGAGAGGGGAGGTGAGAAGGGCTGAGGCTGCGGGAGGCTGGACCGCAGGGGCTGTGCGCGCCACCCTGCTGGCTGATGGGGGGGCTGTGCGTGCCATCAGAATGGCTGACCCGGGAAAGCAGCCGGGTCAGAGTCAGAGCCTCAAGCACCTCCCAGGTGCAGATGAGGGAGGGGCGTGTCCTGGGTAAGGCCACTTCCTGGCCGAGTCAGGGGCTAAGGGCAACCAGAACATCACCCAGGCTTTTTTCATACACCCGTGGTCAGGGACAAAAGACTTCCCAGACAGGAGAAAGAGGCCCAGGGGAGGGGACAGAGAGCTGGGCACAGGCAGCGTGTGAGCTCCGCCAACCTGTACGTGATGACTTGGGCATCTTTCTGTGGTGCCCATCTCCTCTAGTCCAGGGTCAGGTGGCAAAACATGTTAGTAAGGGGCAGGGGCACTAGATGCACTCTGGGCTTTGGCCTTTCTACTGGAATGCCACGGGCAGTCCGTGTCCTGCCAGGGTCAGTGCGTGTCGCCCAGGCCCCAGCCCTCCTGGGGCTCCCCGTCATCAAGCCCTACCTGTGCTGTTGCAAGCACTTAGTTTCCTTTCCTCTGGGCCATAGTCAGTTTTCAGGGGTGTGCAGGGATGACCTCCCCACTTATTCCCACTCAGTATCTCCTGGGAACTCGGGTGTCACATCCAAGGACCTGGGGTGTGCCTGTGCCCTTGTTGGCTGAGTGCCTTTGTGCAGCTGTCTGCACTTCTCTGAGCTTTAGTCTTCTGGGGCTACCAAGAAGTCCCCAAGCCTTTGGCAAGGCGAGAAGTACCTACCCCTGTGTTTCTCACGACACTTGGCACGGGCCTGGCCGAGGTTGTTGGGAGTGGTCCTAAGAGGCCACTGGCTCAGCCACCCTGCCCTCCCTAAGTAGGACTTCAGCTGCCTCTCTGAGAGCGGCAGGTGCTGTGGCAATGGGGCTCTGGTCCTTGCAGGACTGCTCTGAGATGGAAGGGAGGAGCGCCATGGGCCTCAGTCCCGAGTTGTAGGCCTGGGCCGCCCAAGGTGCTGCCAGGAGAGGAGGGGACCACCACCCTGGTGGGCCTTCTCCTGCCTGTGCACCAAGGGACTGGGCTGGCTGGACTCCCAGGGCCCTTCCAGCTCGGACATTCCAAAACCCTGTGAAAGAGGGTGAGTAACAGCCAGTTCTGGGCGGGGCCCATAATCCTCCTGCCCTCCGGGGACCCTGGGTGGGGAAGCCAGGAAGGGGTCACTGGCAGGGCGCCAGGCCTTGTGTGAGTCTGGAAAGCAGCCACCAGAGGACAGCGGCAGGCAGCAGGGACGGAAGGCTGTGGGCTGGAGGGAATAAAGCATGTGGGCAGGAAATACAATGAGGTCCCCCCTGGCCCGGAGCCCTGCCCGGCATGCGGGCTGCAGGCAGCCCCGAGCCGCAGGCACACGCAGACTGGGGTAGGCTGTGTCCCCTCCCAGGCTGGGTGGCGGGGAGCCAGCTCTCACTCCCAGGCAGGCCTGGCAGCCGAAAGGGCAGAGCTGGTGAAGTGGTCACTGTCCTCTCTGGTTCCAAAGACAGATATGACAGAAAAAGGCAGGGGTCATCACCCCAATAGGTGCCAGGGCTGTGGGGACTTGTCCACGCTTATCTCTGTGCCTCTGTCTCCACTCAGTTCCCATCACGGGTATATCACAGACGGAGCTGCTGAGGCCTAGAGAAGGCTCTGGCTCCACCAGCGGGGGCCCCAGGTTGGTGAGACTCCTGAGCTGCGCTGAGCCCCACCCTACGGCTGAGTCTTGGGGATCTGCATGTGTCAGGCCTGGTGATCTCTGTGGACCTTCCTGCCCGACCCCGTGGAGTCCCAGTCAGAGTTACTGTGAGGGGGGAGGACAAGCGGCCCCTGGTGAGACCAGAGGATGGGGCCTGGTGTGTGGACCAGCAGGCCTCTACTCCCTCCACTCAGGGTGACCCACATACTGCAGATCATCCAGGAGGACGATGCCCACTCCTCCCATCAGCACGACCCAGGCCCTCTTCTCCACTGGACAGGTAATGTACCCCCAGGGTTTTCACTCTGGGCCCCACTCCCACCCCCAGAGGCCAGGGCTCTAGAAGGCTGGGAAGGCAGGAAGGCCCTGAAGAAGCCCAAGCCAGCCTCTCCCCTGGCCCGGCCCTCCTACCTCTCCAGGCTCATCCAAGATCGACATCCATCCCTTCTTGAAGTTGAGCAGGTCGGGCTGTGGGAGGTGAGGAGGCAGAAGGTCAGGCCCAACAAGAAGCCCCCGGGCTGGGGGGGACGGGGTACTACACCCACCTGCCCCAACCCCGGTAAGGTTGAGGTCTTGAGAAACCAGGGAGGGCTGAGGGCCCAGGTAATACCTACCCCACATGCAGGTGGGCTCCCCACCACTGAGGCAGCTTGGCCCCTTCCCCAACACCTGGCATGAGAGCCCAGGGAGTGGCCAGTGGCCGATATACACACCACCCATGTCCAAGCTCCCCTCCCACCAGCCTTCCTAACCCAAGATGGGGAAAGAAGGGGTGAGGGGACTTTGCCTGTAGAGTCTCCTAGGGGCTCAGAGGACAACACAGAGCAACAGTCGGAGCAAGCTGTCCCGTCCTCTCTGACAGGCCGAGGGAGCCCAGGTGTGCACCTTAAAGCTCTGCCCACCCCTTGCTCCGACCCTCTGAGGTCCCCCTAGTCCCACCCTCTACTCATCTATTGGAGACCCTTAAAGACGGAGCCAGTCCCAGGCTGGGGTCAGAAACCCTCTGGTCCCCCAAGTCTCTTTGGGAAGGACCAGCATCTCACTCCTGGCAAGCCCTACCTGCCAGGTGCTGCCCAGTGGGGCACGACCCCGGGGCCGGGGGGCTCCCAGCTGCAGCATGCTCCCTGGGGAGCCTGCAGCTAGAAACCCCACTCAGGCCTACAGGAAGAAGCTGCACATCCGGGCATATCCCTGACCATGTCCATGTGAAGGGTGCCAGCCTCCAGCCCGTCCCTGCCTGTAGGGGTCCTCTCTTGTTTATGTCCTGGTCCCTCTGCAGTCTCAGTCCCACAGGCTGGGAGGCTGGCAGACAGGGAGGAGGCAGCCACCTGTTGCCATGGCTCTGAGCCCACCTATCAGCACCTGCATCGCAGCTTACAGGCCGAGGTATCTGGTTGCCTGGAGGGAGCCGGGTGGCATGGCTCTGTGGGGTGGGCGGCGACAGCTGGAAACCAGAGCCACCTGACCTGGCCACCTCTCCTGACCAGTCCTACTCCCAGGGAGCCCTGTTCTCCTCAGGTGGAGGAAGCTGGCTGAGAGGGGCTTGGGCCAGCATCCTGGACATCCAGAATTATGCATGGCCATGGTCAGGGGACCTCAAAGACTGGCGGCCTCACCCTGCTACCTGTCTGAGCAAGGAGACAGGCTCTGCTCTGAGCCAGGAAGCCCCAGGGCTGTTTTGTCCTGTCTGCTCTGTGTTCTGCCTGCCCCGTCAGCCACCTGTCCCAAACCAAGCCTGAAAACCAGTGACCACACTTCTACTTCCCTTCAGACCCTCCACGGCCCGGGGCCTGCCACAGGGCCTGGCTACAGCAGGCCTCAGAAAAAGCTGCCAATCACACCTCTTCTTCCTCCCTGGACTAAATTCTTGTGCTTCTGGGCAGGGCCCATGGAGCTGATCCAGGGGAAAGCCCCAGGGGAGAACCCCTGGGTGGGCTGAGCAGACGACAGCCAATCGGACCCAAGAGGCTGAGCCAGGGATCCCCCCACCTCCCCCCCTCACTGCAATGACAGGCGGGGGGCTCTGAGAGTTGCCTGGAAAGTGGAACAGCTGTGACCTTTCTAGGACACATCCCTCTTGGAGCCCCGGATGCCTGATATGGCAAGTGACTGAGGGTCCTGCCCTCCCCCAGCCTTCCAAGAGGCCGGAACCTGCCGCAGACAGAGCAGCCTGGTGACCCTTCAGAGATCAGTACAGACCAGTACAGCCATGTCAGGCACGACCTAGCACGGCGACCTGCGAGAAAGGAGGCAGCCAAAGCAAGTTTTTAAAATCTCTGGCACAGAAACCTAGGGCCAGGTTCAAAAGGTACGGCCAACTCCATTTCTCCTGTTTTGCCCTGGCTCTGTGGCCAGTCACCCTTTGGCACTTGCAGGATGCTCAGTGCTCCCGTTGTCCTTTCGGAAGTAGCCACAGGCTCCTGCGGCTGTCCTCCCAGACCTTGGCCACCGGTCAGCCCTGCCTCCTGCCTGGACCAAGGCCATGGACCCCTCTAAGCACACTGCTCACTCAAAGAGGCCTAGTGTCATAGGGTTGCTTAAGACCTGCAAGGTTGGTTCCAGGTGTCTCCAAAACAAAGTATAACTGCCTCAGGATGTGACAAAAGCCTCCACCTGCTGTCCCAACCTGGCTCCCCCAGCCTCGGCGCCCACATCATGCCAGGCCACCAAGCCCTTCACACTTGCCCCTGTCCTCAGCCTGAAATACTAGGTGCCCTCATCTGTCGGCCAAGCAAGTCCCCACTGGTGCCTCAAGAGTTGCCCTAATTGTCACCTCTGAGGCCCCCTTCCCCATACTTACCACCCACCAGCCGCTCATCCACAGCCCCTTACAGAGGCCCCACTGTGTCAAGATTGTCTTAAGACCTTTACTTCTCCCCCTGGTGGGCTGCTCACCCAGACCCCACTGGAGCTCAAAGAGTCTTTGCAGGAAAAACAAAAAGCAACCTTTTTTTTTTTTTAGGCACCAGGTACTGTTCTAGGGCAGGAAGCCAGCTGGGAACAAGAGCTGTAGCCCCTGCCTTGGTGGGTTTGAGTGGCAGACCGTAAACAAGAGAACAAGCACATAACTTGACGCCCAGCGAAGTTGTGCTGGGACTAAGGCAAGAGTGGCAGACAAGGATTCCGACCCCAGGTCCAGCGCCAGATCACCAGCTCCTACAGCCTCGAGCAGTTACCTGCCGTCAGTACTGTGCCTTCTGCTCGGTCAGGGGTGGGGGCCAGGGAGATGGGTCAGGCACAGGAGAGGCAGCTTGGAGCAGGCTCAGATCCAAATGGCAGCCAGGTGAGCACTTGAGCCCCAGATTGGTGACTAGGAGCCTGTCTCTGCTCCCAAACCTGTGATGGCTCCCCTTTCCCACGACCAGGCTTTCCTGAGCCTCCAGGTGCTCTTGCCAGCCCTCCTCTACGCTCTCAGCATCCCCAACACCAGCCTTCACCCACATGCCCCTCCCCCATAACGCTGCCCTCCTCCCCAGTCCATCACCTGACAAAGTTCTAGAATCACAGGAATCTCCCTCCCCAGGCCCTCCTCCCACTAGCGGGGAGGAACTGTCAGCCTACTCTTGCTCAGCGCGTGCAGCGCAGGAACTGCAACCACACACATCTCTTATCTCTCCCTAGGAAAAAAAAATGGGACAGAACTGGACACAAACTGTGGCCCAGCCACAGAGGGACCGCGGGCATGCTGCTTCACCTCTCCACAGCTTAGCTCCCTTAGCTGTCTGATGGGGACCACACCGCAGACCTTAAAGGCTCCATCTGGTAGGGTGAAAGCACCCAGTGCAGGGGCTGGCAGGCACCCAGTGGGCAGTGTAAACACCTCCCCCTGGCCCCAGGACACTGACTCAGCTCCTCCCCCCACGTCCCCCTCTGCTCCCTGACAGGGAAGGGGAGGCTGCTGTCGACAGGAAGGGCCAGCAGGGAGGTGGCAGGATGTGCGGAGGCCGAGGAAGTCCAGGCAGCAGCGCCAGGTCATCCCGCTCACAGGGGCAGGGGCCCCACATGGGCCCCGCCTCCATCAGCCCAGCCCACTCCTCACTAGGACTTCACTCACTGGAAGGTAGAATGCGCATGTGCCGTGCATGTATATGTGTATGTGTATGTATGTATGTATATGTATGTGTGTATATATATATATATATATACACACACACACACACACCCCACACACACCCTGCTCATCCTAACCCCAGGAGGGTCACCAAACTCTGGAGCCTCCCTAATGCATTAGCCAGAAATCAAAAGCAGCTCCACCCCTCCCTTCCAGCACATCATGATCAGTTGGCCAGACTGATCTGGAAAGGGGCACTTCTTCCCTTACGTTAGGGGCAACCCTCAGGCAACTCACCAAGGCCCTCCCAAGCCTCAGTTTATCTTGCTGTGAAATAGGAACAGTGAATTCAGTTATGAGGCTCTACATGATCGTTAAGGCGCAGGTACTGACAACGCCTGAGTAGACCTTATCCCCCAGAGAAATACAACCTCCTGCCATCATGCCCACCGCCCCACCTGCAGTGTCGCCCCACTCAAGGCCCCAGAGCCCAAGCGGGGGAAAGTATGTTATCCCGCAGCTTCAGAGCCTCAGAATGGCTCCCGGGCCGTGGGGTGGGGCCGGCCGCCCTTCTCGCCCTCCTAATCTCGGGCCAGCGCGCACACGGGTGGCCAGCCTTTGCAGGCCAGGTCTGTGCGACCCAGTCAAGCAGCCCGGAGACAACCCAACCCAGGCCAGGCCCATCTGCGCTCCTCCCGGGCCGGAGCCCCTGGCAACCGCGGGAAGTCGGGTCTTCTAGGGAGTCGGAGGGAAGGTGGGACAGGCTCGCTCGAGTCCGCCCGCCACTGGTCCCGTCAAGGCGAGCGGGGTGCAGGGGACGGGGAGCTCCCAGCTCCTTGGGGTCGCCTGGGCTCCTACGGTAACGAGGGGATGGGGCGCGGAGGCAGGTCTGGCTGCCGACACCACCTCCCAACTCCGGGAAGTGAGGAGGGGGCTGCCCGGGCGGGGAGCGGAGGGGCTCCACCTCGGCGGCGGCGCGCAGGCAACGGGGCGCGGGGCACTCACCGTCATGGCGGCGCCCCGGGGCGGCGGGACCAGGCGGCGGGACAGTGGAAGGGGCTCTCGGTCCGGGCTCCGCGGCGCGGGGACCCCGCCGCCGCCGCCCCTCTCGGCAGGCGCCCGCCGCTCCTCCAGCCCTGCCCTTCCCCAGCTCAGTCCCGGCCCCTTCCATCCGCCCATAAAACTTTTTTTTTTTTTCAAACTTCCTGGGAGGACCCGGGCGGGCCAATGGGCGGCGGGAACGCCGGGACAAACAGCGGCGGGGGGCGCGATCGGACCAATGGGGGCGCGGGACGGGTCCGGGGGCGGGGCCTGCCCGAAGGGACGGGCGCGCGGGGGTGGCAAGGCGGCAGGCCCCGCGGGCGGATGGGGGCGGCGGCAGGGAGCCACGGAGGGCGGGTCCGGCTCCGCAGCCGGTTGCCTGGCGGAAGGAAGAGCCCGGCGTGCAGGTGACTCCGTCCAGCCACTGCTCGGGGCGGGAGCTGGGGGTGGCCTCCTTGCCGCCCTGGCTACCCCCAGCCCTAGCCCCCAGCTAGGGGCGTTGGGCCAACCACGTCTCCGCGCCTTGATTGGATGGGGACATGGGCGAAGCATCTAGCCCTAACGACTCGAGGGGCACACCTGTTACCTTGTAAACGACTTTTGTCCTCACCATAGACCTGAAAGGGAGTGCTCCTTGTCTCCATTTTACTAATGAGAAAACGGAAGCTTAAAGAGGTGGGCCAACTTGCCCAAGGTCACAAAGTAAGACACAGAATTGTTAGTAAGTAAGATGGCACGCAGACTGAGTTCTTGAATGGTAAGGGCTTCCCCAAATGTTCCCTCCTGCCAAGCAGATCCTTCTCATTTTTGGTTCTTGTGGGTGGGTGTGCACCCGTCGATCATGTTCCCAGAGCTCTTGACAGTTATAGGCTCTTTGGCTGCAGATCTCATCTGAGGCCTGCAGATAAGGAGTCCTTGGAGGAATTTCTTGGCTACTGGTAGCCTGTGTAGCATAGCCAAACTGTTACCTGAAGAAAGGCACTGGATTCTGCCTCAGTTTCACCCGTTGTAAATGGACTAATGCTATTACCTCATCTGGTTGAGATGAGGATTAAGCTTTAATCCAAGTAAGGCATGTGAAACAACCTCTTGATCCCTACTTAGCCCTCCTTAGGTGGGAGGCATGGGAGGCAAGGGAGCCTGGATTACCCACCATTTCATTTCATCTGACGACTTGGGGTTAAAAATGATTGCCTTGTGGGGCTGAGGTTGTAGCTCAGTGGAAAAATGCTTGTCTAGCACATGTGAGGCACTGGGTTCAATCCTCAGTAACATATAAAAATAAATAAAATAAAGGTATTGTATCCCTTAAAATGAAAAAAAAAGATTTTAAAGGAAATTATTGCCTTGTAATGACTATCCCCATTTCAGAGATAAAGAAATGGAGGTCCAGAGACCTGCTGTTCTTTCTCAGCATTTTCTGCTAGGAGTCTCCCCACCATGAAGAATGAGGCTGAGGATAAGTCCACCTCACTCTAGACACTGGCCTTCAGGCACCTGTGTGGCTTCCCACTCTCCTCTGTACTTCCCACTCTCCTCAGGCCTCAAGAGAGTGAGGAACAGACCGAAGACCCCACCTACCCCCAGGGGCCTGGCCCATGGCCTGGGAACTACGCCAGCCCCACACTCTGGTTTTCTGGTCAGGGATTCACCTTCTAGTACCCTCAACCCAGTGACCAGAGCACTCCACTGTACAAAGTCTTTCCTCACTTAATGCATACTAACAGACCAGCTCTACCTTCTCATCCTGGGGAGTCATCACAACCAGGCCCACCTACTGTCCCCCTCTTACGGGTACGTTCACATTCAGGGTCCATAACGCCGCACTACTGGAAATTCCCGGGGTTAACCAGCTCCTTTGTACCTCCTGGCTGCCATGTCTGGAATACTTCCCACCCTGTCATCCACACACCCATGCACGCATGCACACACTCATTTCCTCTCTCCTCACCCCCCTGAATGTCTGCCTGGACTATTCTCTTCACCCTTCATGCCTCAGGCCAAAGGGAGCCAGAGTGTCCAGTTAAACTTAGAAACTCCTTGCCACGTGCTCCCTCCAGAGTGATCCCTGCCTCTGCTGCCCAGACCTGTGCCCCTGCCTCTGCACATCCCTCCACCAAGGTCATGGCCATGCTGTGTTCTAAACAGTTACCTTTCAGGGACCTCACCTTGCTGTTCTCCTTGTGGGCGGGGATGGAGTGTGCCAGGCCTTGGCCCCCAGTGCTTCCTCAGTGAAGGTTGGTTAAATGGATAAACACCAAATAAAGAAGCCATGGCCCAGGCTAGCCAAACACAACTGGCAACGCCAGGAGTGAGTTTTTAAGATGGCAAAGACCACAGCCCCAAACGCAGGCGGTCCGGCCTCAACCCACTGCTCCATTGAGGATAATAAGGTAAGGCTCAGAGAAGGGGGCCACGGGCCAGAGCGCACAGCAGGTGAGGACTCAGGGAAAACAGCAGGTGCTGGGCAGGGTTTGCAGACATCCAGCTCTGAGATCAGCCAGAGCAGGGTTTGAATCCCAGCTCTGCCACTTGCCCTTTTGTGACCTGGAACACGTGACTTTCCTCTGTGCTTTATTTCCTCATCCGCAAAATGGGCAACATGTGTCTAACTGTGACTGGTGGTGAGCATCAAGTGTGGTCAGGCGCACTGCGCACTGAGCATGGAGCTGGGCATACAGTAGGTACACAGTCATTGCTGGTGACCATCACCATCATCATTACCCCAGGGTGCTGTCCTCAACTTCTCTCCTCCTTCTCTCCACCGAGGACGAACGTGTCCCCTCCTGGCAGACCTGCTGTGTGTTGGTGACTTTAGCTAGTCTGATAAGGTAATTCCTGCCCCTGCCTCGAAGGTACCACCCTACCTGGATCACTATGTTTGCCCAATTGCCCTTGGTGCCCTGATCCCCTAAAGAGGAATAATGATGTGGATGAGAAGTGGATGACCCTCCCCAACCTCTGTGCCTCTGGATCTCCCAGAGCCCTCCCTGCAGCCCTGAGATTCTCGGCAGATTTTCCCCAATGGATGTGGCAACCAGGGCTGGGTAAGTTTGGCCGCAACCCTTATCTCACATGAGAAGCGGAAAATCAGCTCCAGGACACCCAACTGTGTGACTTCAGGTCAATCAGCTCACGTCTCTAAGCCTCAGTCCCTTCATCTATAAAATGGGTACACTGTCTCTAAGGTACCTGGATCAGTGCTAGCGCCAGGGCCGACAAAGTACAAGAGTTGGCCTGTCACCAATAAAGGAGATGCCATGGGCAAGCCTGCAGCCCCTAGACATGCAGCAGAAGCGAAGGGGACAGGAGGGTACAGGTCCCAGATGCCTCCCTCTCTGCCCTTGAGGAAGCCCCAACCAGAGGCCAGAGTGTTTACAGGCCTCTCTGGGCAGGGGATGGTTACGTAACGCCAGATGTTTGTGAAACTGGCTCAGACCCAGGCACACTTTGCAATCCCAGAGCCCCTTGCAGGCCTCCCCCGCCTTTCCCTCTCCCCAGCCTGGCTCCCCTGGCGCAGGGCTGGGGGGAGCTACCAAGGAGAAGCTCTCAGTCACTGGGCTGTTTGGTTGTCCTCACCCCCAAAGCCAAAAAGAGCCCCCACCCTGCCCTGGAGGCAAGAAAACCCACCTCGCAGAGACTGTCAGGAGCTTAAGAGCTCTTTCTGTGTGGGGCCCCAATCCCTGCTTAGCCCCCTCACTATTCTGGGACTAACATCAGCCTCCTCCCTGCCCTCCCTCCTCTGCCACCCTCACCCCTCCAGCCCCGTGGAACCAGCCTACCCTTTGCCACCTGAGGACCCCCAGAGACAGCAGGAACGGATTGAACAGCGTGGGTCGGTCCCCGGGCATCCGCCATGAGGTCACCAGTCGGCCCTTGAGTGGGCTCCCAGCCTTGCCCTCTGCTGGCCTCTTGTCTGCCTGTCAAACAGGGTCCAGTGTTGGCCACATGTCCCTTTGGCAGGATGGGGGCATCCCTGGCCACAGCCTCCCCTGCCCGTTCTGCCACCTCAAAAGCCCAGCGTTCCCGTCACTCTCCCCTCCCAGAACTGCCCGGGAGAGAAGCTTGCCAACTGGTTCACACCTCACTGTGTTTGACAGACAGGGCCCCTGGGGCTCAGCATCCTGGGGATGTGCACCCCACACCCTAGAGTCAAACCCCAGGTTGCCAAGGGGAGGGTTACGTGTCCTAGACGCACGCGTCCACCCCAAGAGATGTGGGCAGACTGTTTCACATTAGGTTCTAGAGACGCAGAGACCGTTAAATCTGTGCCGAACTCTAGGCTCCTCTTCCTCAGAGCAACAATGTCTGGAGCCAAGGGGTCATACAAGTATCCCCCAGCCCCTACTCCTGTCACCTGCCTAGCCATCAGGCAGTAGATTTGTGACCCCAGGTTACATGAAAGGAATGAGTCACAGAACAGACACCTGCAGACACCTCTGGCAGAGCCCCAAAATGTTCGTTTGAACTCTTCCTTGTTGGGGAAACAGACCCCAGGGAAGCAGAGGGACTGGCCCAAAGTCACAGGGTTATGGGCAGGGGTGGGGCAGAGCTACGCGTACCTCTCTGGACGCGTACCTCTCTGGAATCGCAGATTTTCTGGGCTTTCCTTTGGTCTTTGGTTTGGTTGCAGGGCTGGGGATCGAGCCCAGGGCCCTGCACGTGCTAGGCCAGTGCTCGACCACTGAGCCACATCCCCGACGCTTTTTGGTTTTGAGTTTTGCTAAGTTGCCCAAGCTGACCTTGAATGTGCACACTCCTGTTTCCCCCACAGCCTGGTCCAGCCCCCCAGATCCCAGGAGGGGGGATCAGAGGCGGCGTGCCCCCGTGCCCCCGACAGCTGGAGTCCACACTCCCTGGAAGCAGAGCTGGAAGCCTCTAAGCAGAGGCCAGTAAGGCTTTGGAGGACAGAGTGCCCCACCTGGCTACCGTGCCCCCATCGCGGCCCTGAGCACCAGCTTGGAACGGGCCTGCGGTGGCACTCCAGCTCCGGCTGACCCAGCCCTGCACACAGATGTGCGTGAGGGAGCGCACAGATGAAGACCCAATGGAGCGGTCAGCACGTCTGTCTGCGCAGTCAGGGCTGCTGGGGGCTGGCTGGGAGGTTATCCACGTGGCTGGGAGACCAGAGGGTCCCC